TTAATTAGGGAACAAAATGAACATTTCAACTCAGTAAAATTTGTAAATCTTTCGATTAGTTCTCTTGGTGTTTTCAGTAAAGAATGTTCTACTTTCATAGAAATGCTTAATGATTTTGGTTTTCAAAAGCAACATTAGAATTACTGTATTAGAAGAATGACGACGATTGCAATCCGAACAACGTATTATATATTTCGTTGCCGAAACAAGGAATGGATGAATCCGGAACTGTTAACTGTTTAAACGTTGTACTGTCATTTTGTTATCTTAATAGTATAATTTTTGTATATATATAATCAGTGATTTAAGTAGCCAATTGTAAATTACCTGATATAAGTGAGATTTGCAATTGTATATATAAACCAAATATCCATTAATAAAGTTTTCATTATTATTATTATTGTTATTATTATTATTCGAGGTTTAAAAATGCATCAACGTAGTTGTCGGGTCATCATGGGACTAAATAAAGAGCTATTAGAAAATGTATTTGAACAGGAAGAAAGCAACAACTGCATGGGCTGGAGACCTAGATGATATTGACACCACCTCAGTTTACAGAGTTAAAAAAGGGTATAAATCTTCCTAAAACCAATTCAGAATGGCTAACGGCTAACGAACATTTCAAATTTTCACTAATGTCTAATCCACCAATCACAAGTGACGATTTAAATATATCAATTAAACTACTAAATGACACCATTTACACCTACTTTGCTGGAAACTTCGGGTTTGTGGAACGTCTGCCGGATAAATTACTCAATGACAAATACAAGGATCACAGCATAAAGGACTTGAACAAAGCATTGAAACTACTTAAATTATCCAACTTTGAACTTGCCGAAATTAGATATGTCTCTCGTCTCGTGCGAAATAAGCTCAAATCTAACACAACTAATGATAACATGCATAATAGTACCGATGAGTCGTTTAACCACGATAAATACTTTGAACGTAATTTCTGGAGATATGTCAAGAGAGTCATAAATTGCAGTGAATCGATTCTCCCTGCCTTCAATATGGACGACTGTTTAAAGTACTTTAAGACAGTCCTGACTAAGGTCAACCCAAACAAAATATTTCAAATTCCAAGTTGGATTCCAATGTTACACGATCCCATTACCGAATTTTACCTTGAACCTCCAACTTACCGACAAATAACAAACATTATTCGCAAAATGAAAACATCTGGCTCACCTTGCTGCCTCCTCCACAGGCGTCTATTATTCCGGCTATTGAAAGTGGAAAATCATTCTGCTATTTAGGAAGGTACTTTAATTACGAAATGACAAATAATGAACATAAATCGGAATTAGTATCCCTATTGACAGACCTAATGAAAGAAATAGATCTGAAGCCACTACATCCGAGAAACAAGATTCTCCTTTACAGTCGCTACGTTCTTTCCAAACTCTCATGGCATTTCACTATAACATCAATTAAGAAAACGTGGATTTCTGAAAACTTGGACTCAGTTTTCAAATAGTACATTCGTAAATGGCTTGAAGTACCTATTTCTGGATCACTTAGTAATATTTACCTAACCAGTAACAAATTTGGTCTGAACATTATTCCCCCATCAACTAAATTCATACAATGTCAAACAACTATCCGCTGTGCTCTGAAGTCATCTCCCAATGAATCAATACCCCACCTCTGGAAATTGACTTGTAATCATACTAACACCCAATATGATCAGTATACGTCGACAAAAGAAGTAATTAAGTCATTCCGTGAAATTTAAGAAGATAAATTGGAAAATCAGTTAAAATGCCCAGGTTCATTCTTCTCCAGCATCTCAAAATTTTCACTACCCCAAGTAAATTCGATTTGGCCAACCTGTCAATCAAAACTACTAAAAAATATTTCCAACTTCACTATTCGCTACATAAACAATTCGCTACCAACCCGCAAAAACCTTCAAAGATGGGGACTGTCCTCATCCTTTGAATGCTCGTTTTGCCTTAAACCTGAATCTTTGTTACACGTTGTTGCCGGCTGCAGTTCCTACCTTGATCGTTTTACTTGGAGACACGACTCAATCCTAAATTTTATTGCTACTAACCTCCCATTAGAACATATTCAGACCATTTATGTTGACTTACCATGATTCTCTAATCCCTCTATTATTACTGGTGATGACTATCGTCCTGATCTACTAATTTTGACCAAAGACAATTGTCTGTATGTACTCGAAGTAACCGTTGAGAGAGAGACTAACCTAAGAAATAATATACAGCGCAAATACTCAAAATATAAAGAGATGATCATAGAACAAAAGAAAAAATTCCATCCGGTAAAGTTCATTAATCTCTCAATCAGTGCACTCGGTGTTTTTGAAAAAGAATCTTCAGCTTTTATACAAATGTTGGAACATTTGAACTCAGATAAGGCCGGTGTTAAATATATAATTTGGGAAAATCATTAATATTGCAATAAGAACAACATATTACGTTTTCTGTTCTAGAAACAAGGACTGGCCAAATCCAGACTTAATGAACTTCTAGCTAGTCTCTTACTTTTTGTATCATAGAATTATGTCCATGTGTAGTGTAATAATGTATAGTGTATCAAGTAGCCAATTGTAAATTACCTTGAACAGTGAGATTTGCAATTGTATAAGTGCATAAAAAATTCAATAAAGTTTTCATTATTATTATTAGACATCGAGCAGTGGCGTATACACGCTCTCTGTACATGTCCTTAGTTTCAACGAAAAACTTTACTTGAACTGATCGTACTAACGCCATATTTTGGTTCTTTATACTTTTAATTAATCAATGATTCGTGTGAACTTGCTTGCGTTGTTTTCAACGCTAATAATATGTGGATTTTGTGGCAAGGATTTCGTATCGTTGGGCCGTCATTCGTGGCGCTGTAAAAGCAATGTGGAATATGGGCAAGAAACCAGAGTAAATGCTATTCCTGCTATAGAAATGTTTGCCGGTTAAATCTAACAAGGCTGTTAAATTTTGCTGTGGTAAAGTCTGCAAAGGGGCGCGCGGTCTTAAAATGCACCAACCGCGAAGCTGCAGAGTTATTGATGACCTTGAAGACGAGCTACAACATCAAATGGCTGAAGTTTTAACCGAACAAAAGAATGAGGATAATGTGGACTAGTTAACCCTGAAATATGGCCTATAAACATGCAAGAAAACTTCCCTGACTTAAAAAAGGAATCAAACTACCTAAATCGCCATTACATGCAGTGGTCAACTGCTAACGACTTTTTCAAACTAACCTTTTCAAATCTTCCAATAACACCGCGCGATTTAAATAATAATAACATTAACGCCATGGCAACAGTCGTCTATAACTATTTTTGCGAGAATTTTGGATATGTCAACAATCATAATGATGTTCAATACCAAAGAAAATATGAAAGCTTTTCAACTAAAGATTTGAAAAAATCATTAAAGAAATTAAAATTAGAAAACAGAGATATTTTGGAGATCAAGTTCGTCGCAAAGAAACTGCGCAACATTCTTAATAAGTCTAATAATACGGACCTCAATAACACTGATAGTCATGCGTCTGCAAATATTGATCACGATAGTCTAATTGGTAAAAACTTCTGGGGTTTCGTTAAACGATTTTTCAAAAAGAACACCAGCTCATTTCCATCATTTAACCTAGCACAATGTCCTCGGGTCCACAAAACACACTGTTTCCATAGATATCTTATGTAGGTCTCAGTAAATAAGTGTTTTATTATATATCAATAGTCAAAGAAACAACAAATTAAAGAACAAATGAACGTAAATACATGAAATATTTTATTGTTAAAACGTTATATTAAACACTGGCTACACTGCAAAGTTTTAAGTTAGTTACGAAAGTTTTTCACTGCGAAAGTTTTAATTACGTACTAGGAATGTCCAAAGGTCGCATCTTCACGTGATGACGCACGTGAACTTTTTCGTTATTCATCGGTCGATAACGTATTGTTTCCCTCTCGCGCTGTTGCGAGGGAAACAGTCTAATTTCGTCGCTCTCACGTGATTTGCTCTCAACCAATAAAACACCAGAAAAATGCGACTTTGACTATTGATATATTATATATATATATATATATATATATATATATATATATATATATATATATATATTTATATATCGCTCTATGGCCTTTTAGGTCATATTAAGCGCTCTACAGGATGAGCCATGCCGCTTACGCATTGCGCACGCTCACTGCTTGCAGTTTGAGCGCTCTGGCATGGTTTGATGTCCCACAATCGTGAGGCATCAAAGGTAACTGTAAATAGCAGTTACTTTCATCCTGCTCATCAGCACTACACTGATGAGGCCCATAAGGCCGAAGCGGTACCGTCTGTAGTTACATATCGCTCTATGGCGGCGTATGGCCTTTTAGGTCATATCACAGAATAAAGATCAGTAACAGAAGGGCAACTCAGCGGTGCAACGTGTTCTCGTTTTTTTATGCATATATATATATATATATATATATATATATATATATATATATATATATATATATATATATATATATATATATATATATATATATATATATATACATATAAAACTTCAAGTTGGAAACAAAATTTATTAAACAAAATTTATTTTTTGGGAGGCTAGTGATATTTATATATATATATATATATATATATATATATATATATATATATATATATATATATATATATATATAGCTTAAGATTTTGGTTTACGTAACACAAACAGTGCTCAATACCATATAGATAGAGCGTAATATAGTTTTTCGTTTTACCTCAAAAAACCACAACAGTCTGTTTCATCCGTATAGGAATCATCAGGTGGTCTGATGATTCCTATACGGATGAAACAGACTGTTGTAGTTTTTTGAGGTAAAAACGAAAAACTATATATATATATATATATATATATATATATATATATATATATATATATATATATATATATATATATATATATATATATATATATATATATATATATATATATAGCTTAAGATTTTGGTTTACGAAACACAAACATTGCTCAATACCATATAGATAGAGCGTAATATAGTTTTTCGTTTTACCTCAAAAAACCACAACAGTCTGTTTCATCCGCGGTATAGGAATCATCAGGTGGTGAATAATTTCGAAATTGTAGGTTGCTTTTATGCTATCGAAAGAATGTGCAGAATGCGTGTAGGCGAAACAATGCTTAGGTGAATATATATGCACTGTAAATTTCTGGCATGGTTTTGATGTCCCACAATCGTGAGGCATCAAAGGTAACTATAAATAAGAGTTACTTTCATCCTGCTCACCATTAGGTAACTATAAATAAGAGTTACTTTCATCCTGCTCTCCATTAGGTAACTATAAATAAGAGTTACTTTCATCCTGCTCACCATCCTGCTCACCATTAGGCCGAAACGGTACCGTCTGTAGTTATATATAATATATATATGTAATATGTTATATGTAATATATATATATATATATATATATATATATATATATATATATATATATATATATATATATATATATATATATATATATATATATAAACAAA